TCAACAAACCAGATTGGAAATGAACTTACTCAATCTGATAAAGGGCATTTGTGTAATAACCAACAGCTGATATCATACTTAATGGTGAAATAGTATGTACTTTACTTGTAACACATGGAACAAAGTAATTATGAAGTTCAAGAATAGCAAAACTTACTAATGGTGATACAAATCAGAACAATGGTTGTTGCTTAATGGTAGTAGGAGGGTTGAGAGGAAGTGGCCCAGGGAACTTCCTGGCGTAGTGAAATAAGCCATATCTCGATTGGGATGCGGGTAATATGGGTGAATACGTTTGTTAAAGTTCAAATGGTACCCTGAAAATGAATGCATTTCACTGCATGTAAATATCTCCACAATAACTAAAAGACATCCTGCATTTAATTTATTATTGCCTATATTTTTCAAATGTCACTAGGGGACCATGAATGACATGGCCCAAAGTAGTCACAAAGTAAACTACAGTGGAAACCAAAGTATGCTCTAGAATATCTCATCTTTGAAAGAAAACATCAGTTTTATGTCTCTTTTCCTTAACAAACAGAAGAATTAACACTCAAAAAATAATTCTTAGGGAATTTACATCTCTGCCCACAGGAAAAGGCAGTGTGGGGATCCATGCTGATGCTGACTGATTTATTGCTCTTGTTCCAAGCTGAGATTAGCCAGCTGAGGAGCGAAGAGCCCAGTGCTGGCACAGAGCTGTAATTGATCTTTGGGGGAGCTCTACTTGCATTTAGAAGAAAGAAGATTATCACGTTAGATTTAAGTTGGGAGTATTCCCAGTGCTTTCCGAAATGTTTGGAAGTTTCTGTAGGACCATATTTTTTGTCTACTTTCCTTTTGATGTCATTATAAACTAGAATAAAAGAAACCTCAAAAATAGTTACATTAGTTAAATTTATGAGTAGCTTTTCTTGTGGTTCCGTAGAGAAAGTTTCTAAATCTTGATTTTCCCCATCTCACAAGAGCATATGTCTCTGTATTATATGAGGAATTTATGTTAGGAAATCATTCTGGTGATGTCTCTAGGGTTCCTAGAGTGGACATCACCTTCCATGAGAAACTACTTTATAAATACTTTATTTGGGGGGGATTTATTAATCAGAAACCTGAGACAGGCTGCTGTTGCATAGTAAATTATGCTCATATAGGGAGGGGGGAGCAAGGCCTTGTTTTCTTAATACCATTTAAAAAATGGAGAGTATTAATTTGCCAACTTACACTGACTAAAAGTTATTGTTGAATTCCCACATGATAAATCAGAAAGAAAGATCTGACGTAGCAGGTCAAGTCAGTTCTCAAGTGAAAACTGATACCCACAACAGTATCTACCGTCATCTTCTTTGCCAGTGAAACATGTGTTTCCTGTTATATAGGACCAGCCTTAACGCACAGGATCTGACATTTGGTAGGTACCCAATAAATGCAGAATACATCGATATCAGTTACACTAAATAAAACAGTTTTATGAATCATATTTCATTGAGCGTTTGCCAATAATCACTTGCCTTTTTAAAGTCCAGCATGCAGAGCTTGGCTTT